TTTTTTTTTATAGAAACGCTAACAAAAGCAAACGCTTTATTGGGGGTTTATAGAGAGTAATAAAGACAAAGACAAATGTATAAATATAAATATAAATAAATAAATAAAAATATAAATATATTTATATATAAATATAAATAAATAAATAAAAATATAAATATATTTATATATAAATATAAATATATAAAGGAGACAGAAAGAAACAGAAAAAAAAGAGAGAAACAAACAAAAACAAAACAAAAGCAATAGCTGCAACTCACAAACACCAAACCAACGGCTTAAAGTCTAGGGTTTAGGGTTTAGGGTTTAGGGTTTAGGGTTTAGGGTTTAGGGTTTACCCCCGAGGTTTACAGAGAGAAAGGTGACCCCGCCGCTAGAGCGTACTGTATCATCTATATCCACTAACACCTACATAAACAAAAAAAAAAATAAAAAAAAAAAATAAATAAAAAACTAAATAATATAATAAACAAAAAAAACAAACAAAAGCAAAAGAAGAAATCATAAAATAAACAAAAACAAAATAAAAAGGAAGAAAGGGTAGAATAAATAAAGACAAAATAGAAAAGCACAAGAAAGGATAAACAGCAACAGCAGCAGTAACAGTAGCAGCAGCAGCAGCAGCAGGAGATACCTGTAGGTCTCCGTATAGCTCAGGCCTTGCTGCTTCGTCAGCAGACAAGCTGCTGTAGTGCAGCAGCGCGGGGACAGCTGCTTCTTCTCTTCTTTCTATCTTTCTTCTTGCTTCTGCTGCTTCTGCTGCTGCTGCTGCTGCTGTTGCTGCTGCTGCTGCTGGTGCTGCTGCTGCTGCTGCTGAAGCAGCAGAAGGAGCGGCGTCTCCACCCTCATTCGGCTTGAACCACACCTGGCATCTCTGCTGCTCACTCTGCTGCTGCTGCTGCTGCTGCTGCTGCTGCTGCTGCTGCTGCTGCTGCTGCTGCTCAGAGAATACATCATATTCATGGTGGGGTTGAGTTGTATGGCTACGCCTCACAGTAGAACCCTCAAAGGGGGCCCCCGGGGGGCCCCTCCCACCAGGGGGGCCCCCCTCACCCCTCGATCTGCTTCTATAGTAACTGTCTCTCTCATCAGCTGAAGAGGGTACCACTTGGGGCCCCCAGCTAGATGCGTGGGGGCCCCCATGGGGGCCCCCAAGGGGGCCCCCAAGGGGGCCCCCAAGGGGCCCCCAAGCCGGTTCAAAGGGGCCCCCAGGGGGCCCCCGAGGGGGGCCCCCAGGAGACTCCTGGGTCCCCCCCTGGGGGCCCCTTGTTGGTGAACCTGGGTATGCAGGAGCTGAAGCAGAATGAAGGAATGGGGTGTATGCGGAGACAGAAGTACGAGAGACAGTGCGGGGGAGAGAGGGGGCCGGGGGGGCTGGCCATGCAGAGTATTGCTGCTGCAGCTGCAGCAGCTGCTGCTGCTGCTGTTGCTGTTGCTGTTGCTGCTGCTGCTGCTGCTGCTGCTGCTGCTGAGGGAGAGTGTAGTCTTCCGTCTGGCGGTGCATCTGCTCGTCAGTATAAGAGAAAGAAAGAAAGAGAAAAAAATAAATAAAAAAAAGAAAAAGAAAAAAAGAAAAAGAAAAAGAAAAAAGAAAGAGCGCAGCAGATAGAGAGCAGCTGCTGCTGCAGTACCCTTGGGGGCCCCCCTGCAGCAGACGTATTAACTGGGGGCCCCCAGCAACAATAAACTCGGAGTTGTAAACAAACCCTAAACCCTAAACCCTAAACCCTAAACCCTAAACCCTAAACCCTAGAAGAAGCCGCTACCAGGCAAGCAGGCTGGATGGCTCAGGGTCTGGGGTTGGGGGGTTAGGGTTTAGGGTTTAGGGTTTAGGGTTTAGGGTTTAGGGTTTAGGGTTTTCTTTTCCTTCTTTACGATTGAGTCAAAATATAACTGCGGTTTCTCGTTTATTGTCTAGATTCTAGGGTTTAGGGTTTAGGGTTTAGGGTTTAGGGTTTAGGGTTTAGGGTTTAGCATGCAGCAGCAGTGACGCAGCAGCAGGAGCCTGGGGCCTGGTGTGTCTGCAGCAGCAGCTGCTGCTGCTGCGGTGTTTTGTGGTTTGTTTTGTATTAAAATAAATAAAAATAAATAAAAATAAATAAAAATAAATAAAAATAAACAAATTAATTAAATTAATTTAATTTATTTTCTTTTTGCTGGGTCTATATTCTATACATATAC